AGCTGTTCTTGCTCAAGGATTAGAGAGCTATTTATCAAGGTTCCTAGATACTCTTTGTGTTGATATCAAGTAAGTATTACACATATCAGGCAGAAGCAATCTTTGGGACCGGGCCTGCACTCTCAAACTCTTGCTATATTAGTTTACCGGGATTAATATAACTCGGAAAGTACACCGAGAATGATGATGAACTGGCTAACCAAAGTGCGGCCCTGGAAAGTGACTGAGCATGGGTGGTGAAATCGCAAGGTGGAGACCGCGGTTTTCCAGGCTCACCGGTCCTTCTACGAAGACTGGAAAGCGCCAAACAATTATAGATACATTTTACCAGCGCTGTGATATGGAGTTCAATGTGAACTAATCTTTGATGTAAAAAAAAATAGAGATTTGTCAGAAATTAGTTGAACCGAAACACCCAACTATAATGATAGAGCTCTTGTTCGGTGAACTTTATAAACAGATATATATAGCTTATATCTTCCCTAGAAAGCTGTCATACAACAAGAATTTGGACCCCGAACAATAGGCCATTGTCTATAACATGATTTACTATAAGAATGCCACGTATGTCCCAGTTTTTGAGAATGAATTAGTTCTATATGCGAGCTTAATAAGTGATTTGTACTGGGTTTGGTGAGACAGTGATTAAGCTAGTGATTTCTGTAATATGCTTGATTTAGTCTGTTTAAAGCGTCTGGAGAACTATCACATGCTTCTTAATTCCGGTCAGCATTCGATCTCAGAATATTTGTGAATAGTGATGATGTGATGAGGCAGTGAATGGAGAAGCAGGGACTCGAAACCAAGCCCTTCAGTCTACGCAAAATTCTATGTATCCTCCTCGCTCCTCTTTTTCTCGCCCTTTCTTCTCTCTAGAACTCCCCTACAAATCCAATGCCTATATCCTTACAATCTGCTATATGTAATTTTTCGAGACATGCGTCTCAATAGCTGATTCGATCTACCCGCCTCGGAGGGTTTACTCTCGGACGCGCTTTTGCATCTTTTAGATATCCATATTTTTACGGGTAGCTTTGATAAGTTCCTTGAACTACTCTAGATACGTCTTTGAGACCAAGCGCCTGCGCTTTTGAATGATGCTCGGCGTATACATATAGAATTCAAGTGCTATGCTACTCTCGTTTTCTCACTCGCCATATAACTCTACATACGGAAATAATCACAAACTACACCTACCTACTACATGTATATACCTGCCCAACCTAGCAGAGATTATCATCAATAATCTCTGATGCAGGTAATGGCATCATGGTAGCATTGTCAAATTCTCGAGGATTATGAGAATAGTTCCTGTTCCGTCTTGTCAGGACTTCGAGAGGGCTTCCTTCCCATCTTCCCCCAATCATGCAAATCTTCTTGCAACGGAAGCCACGATGCACCATGAGAGATCAATAAAATGACTGAATTCGCGTGCTTGGGCACTTTTTCTGCTTCTTACTCTCTTTATCGCGATATTCAGAAACCCTCTACAACACCGAACTTCCTAATATGCCTCGGTTTATGCCTCCTCCCCCCCCCAAGCGGTTTCTTCCCCACCCGGACACCGTGAGCGAAGTCCTGAAAGACATCTGGGAGGTACTGCGAAGTCGCCACGTCGAACCGAAAGAAAAGATGAACGACGTTTGGGCGCTAGTTACTGCACCCGCCATTTCGTTTCGTTCTCCATTGTTTCGTTGAATATTACAAGCGATTTTACGAGTAGTATGACTAGCAGGCCTATCATCGAGCATGGTACGGGGCCGATGGTTAGGTGACAAGCTTTGCCAGGCTCCATGATGGGATGGAGCGATAGACAATATCTGATCCTCTAGCACGTGTAGAGGCCTTTCAGTTTGACAAGCCTAGTACCTTCGGGTCCAGCTAGGCAAATCTTCTCCAAGCTGACGAGTGGTTTTATGGTGAACACTTGGTAGGGAAGATTCTTATCTTCCCGTAGGTTCGAGTCCTGCAGTTGGCTGTGACCATGGTGTTGGAGAACATTGGTTTGTTTACTCAGTTTGTTGAGATATATATTATGTGGAAGAGTGAGATATGAAATAGGCGAACATCAGCTGGCCTGCAAAGTTTACCCCCTTCAAAATTGTTGTTTTGACTCTTTGTGTTTTGCAACTATTCGCAAATATTCCACAATCATCAAATTTGTGGAAGAGTGATAAGTGTGATCGCCAATATCAGTTAATTTGCCCAGTTTGTTGCCTTACAAATTATTGTTTTGACTCTTCCTGTCTTGCTACTATTACAAACTCCTTTATAGTCCTCAAGTTCACCAATATTTTTGACCATTTGACTGTCCTCCGAAGTATATCAAGTTAGAGTGACTTGGGTTCCATATATTTACAACCTGTGGTGAAAATGATTGACACTATAAAACAAATAATCTATCCGTTATAAACTAACAACAAGATAGATGGAGTAATTGATATTCAAATTATAAAGCGCACAGATTACTGTATCCTACCACATGGTTCTACTAGCATTTTAGGATAGGGTTTACCTCACGTCAACATGACATTTCACATAATTAGGTAGATCTTGAAAAGGTTATCTTATTTCCTGTCTTCATTTCCATAATCTTTGTCTCAGTCTCACCATCCAATATCTTCGGCAAAATGTTGTCTTCCAACCGCTTCGTTGTTTACTCACTGGGCTGTGCCACAGCAGTCACTGCATATAGGCTCTTCGCGGCTTCCTGGCTAGTCTTGCCTCCATATGCCGATGCGCAGAAATTTCCCATAGACTGCGCCTTCTTTGCTTTAATGATGGCCGTGACTCTAAGCTATCGTGACCATTTTACCTTACGAGCGTTATACTATGTGGCTCTCACGCATGGCGTCCTAGCGCTGGGATACCTATCTGATGACTTAGTCGACTTCCACCTGGCGCCTGGAGACTCTGCTAGCCATTCGATAATTTACAACAAGTTGTTAACACACTTTATGACATCTTTCCTTCTGATCGCAGAGGCAGAGCACACAAGATGCCAGGTAAGTGTCAGCACTATCCCGCCAGAGCGCTCCATTACCCGAAGACTAACAAAGACTCGCCCTTCGCTCAGTCCGACGAAACCGATTGGGGATCGGTATCTTTTGTGTCCATCAGACGGGGCCTTAATACAGGCATAGCGACTTACATGCTCTCTTTTACGATCTTTTTTTTGATAGTAGTCGCAGCCAGTGTACTCGACGGACTGCACCCAACCATCAGGGACATCATGACACTGCATCTATCACTTGGCGTGCGGTTCTCCCACAATTCTGGTACCATACCGTGGCTTGTGGATACGTCTTTCTTGCGCATGTGGACAGTCCTGGTTTTCGCAGTATGTTGGTCGTTCGAAAAGGAATTTGTGTTAACGATTTATGACGATGCTAACGAGATTTAGATCGCGCACTTGATAGAGGAGTATTTGTTGAGACCGCTTCCCTCCCCGCCCGACGATCCAGATGCTAGCTTTGAGAAGCTGGGGGGAGTTTGGTGGGGTCTTTATGCGATAGGATATGTGTTTTTTCGGTGGGAGTAGGCTGGGCTATAGTTGGGTACCAGGGAGACTTGGTTGGTAATAATATGTCGGCTCCAAAAATTGGAGAGAAGCTCAATTAATTTTAACGTGATGGTTTGAAGAGTAGGACAAGTGAAACTGTCGATAATGAAGGTTATGAATCCTCACTTTTCTCCAGCTATCTATAGTTCTTTCTGCCTCTAGTACACCAACGAAGTGACAGTATATTTGACACTGTGTCAGCTCGGCACTAAACGAAGCTATAGGTACCATGAGGATCCCTCAGCAAGTTGTCAGTTACAGACACTTGATTGGGCCCACACGCAAAGCGGGCTGTAACAGACTGTAGAAGCTCATGATGAAATTCAGAAGGGCCGTTATGTCAGTGTCAAGGACGTTAACTGGGAAATCAATGACTGAAATATGTTAAAACACATCTGCTGACCATGCAAACGCAGAAGTCTTTCCATAGTTGCATATAATGCAGCCTTCCGATTATTCATACAATCATCGCCGTTTCCGTAAACCTAATAACATTGTCAGCTTTGACAAGATCCTGGTCGATCTAATTGAGCTTTGCTTACATTCAATATGAGAGACACATTGTCAGAAACAAATGTATGGAGATCTAATATCTATCCTCCAACCTCATACAATATGATATCAATGTTAGAAGAAGATGCATTAATACCGAAGAAGCAAAGTCACACAAGAATACACAGCATCATAATCACGAAGGCTGAATCTGAATATTCTGTTGTCCAAAGCATAGAACAAATCAGAAGCATCATCGACGCCTCCAGTGCATAAGTCCGTGTGTATACAATCTCCCTTGAGATTATCTCTAGTTTGAGTAACAATTTCACTCTTCAGACACTGATACCATAGGCAGGAACAAATGATGGATGTTTCTATTGGCGAATGGTTACAGGAATGAATCTGTCCTTGTCATCATCATGGCCCGTGCGCTTCTCCATGGAATATGCTTCTTCAGTAAGACGCTTCTCCTGGTCTAGAATATGTGAGTTACCCAGTGTACCACAAGTCAAATCAATTGAGAGTGATGAAGTAAGCTGCAGATTCACAACAAGACGATGCTCTACCGGCTGTACAACTGTCTAGTAGTACCTATTTTCAAATCTACAATACCTGATCTTCGCAGCCTAGGCAAAAGGCAAAGGAATGCACATCATTGAGGTTTATCTGACAGGCACAGCATCTATCTGTTACAGAAAGATGATTCCACGTACAGGTTTTTGTCACTTCAAGTCATCCTGTTCAACACGTACACAAAATGCCAGTTCTCAGGCGGTTCGCAAAATAGATAAATAGGGGCCTAATTCCCACCGTTTCCATGAAGTATCTCAACGGATATCCCACAGTGACAAGCACAGCTTAGAGCATCTTCAGATTCCTCTTGCAGTACCTGCTACCTGCCATTACCCTTCAAAACACCTACCAATCCGCACCAATATTCACCATGTCTAGCATCGGTGCCCAGCAGATCCGTTTCCGTGAGTTTGATATTCAATAAACCCTAACATATGCAACTCAAACTGACAAGCCTTCAGGATGCGGCATCGCTCCGATCGGCAACTCCGACAGCATGCGCGTCTACGTCCAGGACACCAACGGCGGCATTAGAGAAGTCGCCTACGACAACGGCCACTGGTCTCGCGGAAGCGAAAAAGACATCATCGGCTACGGAGCTCTGGGATCTCCCATCGCGGCAATCTGCCGGGGCTTCAAGCATGTAGGTATCCATCGCCCGGCAGCTGCAAACATTGTACTGATATTCAGATCCGCGTTTACTACATCGGAGCGGAGAACATGCTCCGGGAGGCCTGCTGCGATGCAGGTGGTTCCTGGTACGAGGGAGACCTTAGCAAGAAGAAGGTCCAAGTCGCGCCGTACTCGATGCTGTCGGCGTGCTTCCTTGCCGGAACCGAGAAGTTGCAGATGCGCGTCTACTTCCAGACGATGGACAACACGATCAAGGAGTTCGGTTATAACGGTGAGTGTTTGCACCTAAAGTCGTCTGCGTGAATCGCCTCAAAGACATGTCTTCTAATCTATCATTAGATAACGGTAAGGGCTGGCAGGAGATGACCGGCCAGGGTCGTGCTCTCCCTGGAACAGGCATGGCCTGCACGTCCTTCCACGACTCAAAGCTACGCATCAGGTTAGTAGTATATTCCACGATGGGCCACTTGGTCGATTCCTCTCGCCTTTTCAAGATGTTGATAGTAACCCGCCGCAGGCTCTACATGCAGGATGAGGGGAACAACATCTTCGAACGATGCTACGATGAAGACCAGGGATGGTCCAAGGGTAAATTTTCCGTCCATGACACGGTGCCGCGCACCGACCTTTCGGTCACCAGCTTCAACCGGATGAGCATCCGGGTCTACTACGTCGACAGGGACAACAAGCTGAAAGAGATGGGCTACGACGGAAAGGACTGGTACCAGGGCGGATTCAACCGTCCCTGTGTCCCCGGAAGCCAGAATGGCGCCGTCAGCTTCATGAAGAGCGACAACGTCCGTATCCATGTGTTCTTCCAGCGCGGAGAGCTGGTCACTGCCGTGACGGAGTGGATTTATGAGGGTTCGTGGAAGGAGGGCAAGGCTGCTCTGCCGCCTGCTTAAGTGTGGGATTAGCTTGTGGGCTTTTGAGCTAGGGCTCATCTTTAAGCCAGATATTATCTCGTGGTCGTTGACTGGATATTGTTTGAGATTGCCAACTCGTTTTAGTCTGAATTTAACTCAAACAATTTGATTTCTGTTTTGAATTATGGGATTAGATCTTAGTGTGATTGAGTTCCCGAGGCATTCACATCGAGAACCTCTTAGTCTTAAGATATATTTCTCGAATACCACATACAACAATCAATTAAACCACTTATCTATTCAAAACCAGAGATCACCCAAAAGTATTGTATTCGCAACATGGCACCCATTCTAAACACTTGTGTATTATCAAATCTTACTTAATATTCTTTTAGATTATATTTCATATGACCCCAACACCCAACCCAACAACGCACAGACACCCAACCACACCCGTAGCCCCCTCCCTAGTCAACTCGCTTGAGCCAACGATCCTTGATACGGGATAGCCACTCCTGCCAGTCACTTTCGCACAGGAAATGCGGGGGCAAAGCTAGTCTCGAGCCGGAAACAACCTAGTACTAGTGAACCCGTGTGTGGAATCACTGAAGTGAAAGAGAACCGAAAGAGGTACTACTGTACCATTGCTAGTCCGCCCGAGCTAGGACCGATGGCCTAAACCGTATAAGCGAAGTAGACCTTACGAGCGCTAACATGGACCAGCCGCTCTTGGGGCCTGGTGCTCCTGATAGGGTGGTTGTCGGGGATTAATCTGTTCGTCACATTGGGACGAACTGTTAGTGCTCTGGGTTTTCTCTTTGTTTGCTGTACGGACCCTGGGTCTGTTGATTAGGTGGTTGCGTTGTGAGAGTACCCCTTGCATGCAGTAAGCTTTTCTCCAACACGTGTGGAAATTGAACGATTTTTTTTTTGGCTTATTCTTATTTATTTCATGTGACTTGACAAGTTATTTCAGTCTTCTAAAACTGGGTAGATTGAAATTAATCTAGAACCTCAACATCAACACAAAAACATGGTATCAAACTATCACTGCATCTAGATACAGACGAAGGGAAAAAACCCAATTAATAACAGAAGGGATAGACACGAATGAAAGAAAAGAATAGGTAAATATTCAGCAAGTCAACAGTCCGTGACAGATTACACCTCCGCGCAGGGTATAGGGTAGATGCAAAAAAGTTATACAGTCGACTCAAAACACACACGAGATGCTGATCCGGTCCTAACTAGTACATCTCAAGCCTTAACCTCAGTCGCACTCTCGTCGCTCTCCAGCTTGGTATGGTCGACGTGGACGGTGACGCTCGTGCGCCGGAGGGCCTCCTCGAGGTACTCGGGCTTGAGGTTGCCGTGCTTGTCGTAGCGGTAGGGCTCCTTGATGGAGATCTTCGCAGCGTCGAAGATGCTTGAGCTCTTCTTGAAGATGTTGTCCATTTCCTCGAGGGAGCGATAGCGGGTTTCGGGAAAGAAGAAGTACACGACGGGGAAGATGAAGGCGTTGCTGGTTGGTGTTAGTTAGGGCTGGGTTGGAGGGTTAGGGGAAGTCGCTCACATGACAGCGAAGATCACGTAGGTCTTGTATCCGATGTTCGCGAATGCGACGGGGGTGATCATGACGACCATGAAGTTGAAGATCCAGTTGGCACTAGATGCAAAAGGTGGTTAGCGCGCGCTTGTGAGCCACGGTTTTAGAGAGTCAGTCGCATACCTCGTGGAGAGGGCGTTGGTCGGAGCACGGATTCGCAGTGGCACAATCTCAGCAGGATACAGCCATGTCATTCCCAACCAGCCGATAGCGAAGAAAGTATTGAAGACGAACAGGAACACAGCCTGGCCAATACCGGCCTGTGTGTCGCCGAGGTGGGTCAGTCGATAGTTGGTACCGGCGAGGACAGCCATCGACAAGGACATGCCAGCAGCCTGTTAACGTTTTGTTAGCCACAGAAGTCATCCAAGCTTGAGCATTGGTAATTGCGACGTACCCCGAAAAGCATCAGCGGACGACGTCCGACTTTCTCAATGATGAAGATGGGAATGAATGCCGCCATGAGGTACTCTGTGCCGTTGCACGCAGCCAGCAACTTGGGCTGGTTACCCTTGCCGAGACCAATATCGGCGTACAGCTTCGGAGCCTGATAAAGTGGGTTAGTCCTGGATCGAAGTAGGCCTCTGTGTCCCGCAAGCACGTACATAGTAAGTGATCAGATTGATGCCGGAAATCTGCTGGAACATCTGGTTGATATAGGCGAGCGCGACGCGATGGAATTCACGATACTCGCTCATATCGAACAGACTGCGATAGGAGCCTTTGTTCATTTCCACCACCGTCTCCCGAATAGCGTTTAACTCGGTCAGAATCAGCGGATCATCGACCGACGACTCGGATAAAGCAGCAAGGATTTCCATCGCCTCTTCATTGCGGCCTTGCATGACAAGCCAACGCGGCGACTCGGGCAGGTTGAGAATGGAGCAGAAGATGACGACGGCGAAGATAATCTGGAAAGCCAGCGGAAACCGCCATGCAACCTCCAGGTCGCCGATATGCGCAAAAGCTATATTCCCATTGGTCATCAGCACGCAAACCACGCATTTGTCGCGTCAGAGGTTCCAACCCACCAAAATTGATCCAGTAACTGAGAGTAATGCCGGCTGTAATCAGCATACCCTCAATCATGACCATCTTGCCGCGATCGTGGGCCTTGGACGATTCGGATTGCCATGTTGGAACCGTACTTGTGTTCATGCCGTTCCCGATACCAGTAACGATTCGGCCGACAACGAAATGCGGTAGATCAAATGCGGTACACTGCAGGATAGCCCCGGTGGCCATGGTGACACACCCGATGAAGATCGTCTTGCGACGGCCTAGCGGGTTGCCGACGAAGATAGTGATGATCGATCCGAGGAAACATCCCAAGTTGTACGACGCTACCGCAATGCCTTGATTTGTCGCGCGCTGCGATTTCAGGGCGGGAAAGTCTTGAACAGCGGGATCCTTGTCATCGATGCTGGGGAAATACTTGATGAAAGACGGCAGGTCGAGGAGACCTCCGGTGATACCCTGATCGTATCCGAAAAGACTGGGTTCTCTCATGTTAATTACCAGACAGACCCGGTCTCAACGCGGATATAGCGACTCACAGGAAATCAAGACTACCCAGGGAACTGATAGCCAGGTTGAGGGCTCGGCCTCTCCAGCCAAAATACTTGGGAATCCCAAACATGATGGGTGGAACACAGCAACAGCGTGGGAAAGCAACGGTGATCGAACCTTGGCGTAGACTGGGGGGAAGCTGGGGAAAGCGACCAAGGGTTATATAGCGCTTTGTACCTTCGCCGCGCCCGGATGGATCAATGTGGTAACCCGAACGTGCAGGGGTCCTCGAGCGAACGGCGGCGGCCAAGATACGAAGTGAGAAGCAACATGTCTAGCGGGGCTTGGGGTCCGGGGATGTTTGACTGGACTGATATTTGGATGTGGCTTGCTGCGCCGGATCTAACTGGACCAGGCCTGAGTGCCTGGTTGGATATTATCAATCACCCCGGCCCTGATGGCGGCCGAAACACTTGGCGGTGCCATGAGATTCCTTGGCGGGGATGACAGGCCATTTTCTGAATCCTCGTCTGCATGGCTGACTTTAGGGCTTACTGGCGAGGCTAAAGATCTGGGCGGGCTCTCGGCGAAATCTAGGCGCGTGCCTCACGAGCCCGAGGAAAACAACACTAAAGCGCTCGTTCCCATTCCAGGCTGGCTTTCCCTTTCCCTTAGTCGTCCTTGGCACGATGGTCCAACCCGAAGAAAATAATTTCCGACGCGACTTTGGCTAACTGGATCTGGAGAGAGAAGGTGTCACAATCTGGACAGGGTAGGAGTTCCTTCGGATGTGGCGGGAGACCAACAAGCCTTAAAAACGAGCAGGCACGAATCGGACAAACCTACGCAGAAGAGAGCGTGTAGCTAGCTTTGAAGACAAAAGTCGGAATATGGACCGAGCAGTCATGAAATCATGGACAGACCCAAGTTGACTCCACGATGGAGAACCCCGGAATGATGACCAGATCGCAATGGCGGGGGTTTGATAAAGCCCGGGGCCTCTGATTGGGGAGTTAAAGGGGCTGCGCTCCAAGTTGGGGATAGCCCCACGTGGAGTCATCTCGCTAATCCACGAGCCAACGTGAAATTTCCCCATAGGCAATCCTGATTTAGCCCCGTACTTGTCAAAGCTGAATTGTCTGGAGCCTGATCATGAGTCAAATTTTCATACTAGTATGAGACAGTTACCTCTGCGGGCGACTTGGCCCGACCACGAGATCCGGGCAACCCTAACTAGGAACATGGGAAATTCACCCGATGGTCCAAGAAAGCCACACTGGTCAGCCATCCAACAAGGACACAATTTAGTGACGAGCCGAAATCCCACAATAGAGTTCGTTGCAACCACATCCATCGAGCCGCGACATTAAACACCCCAGTCAACTCCTGCGGAGTTCGAGCCGTCCATCTTGGCTCCAGCCGCCCAGGGGCTTGGACCTCCAGTTAGAGGAGGGTGGCTGCAGTCCTGGTGCCCCAACAAGGTGGTCATTGTCCCACCACTGCATCACCATGGCGCCACCGCATACGACAAGCACTGGATGGCAACGCTCCCATGACTAGGTCCATTACAGTCATCCCGGAGTTCCCTTGTCCATATAACCTAAGCTGACGCCATTCCCTATTGGGTGCGCAGAGGTCTAAATCGTCGGGCGCAAGCCCCGAGCCGCCCCCTCGTCATTGACATGGGTACAGAATATCGTAGGATTCACGAGATGACTCGCAGCGAATATTCCACGCAGACTTGAAGAGAGAGCTGGGCGCTTTTCCCAGCCCGATGAGAGGCTGGGTGACAAGGCTGCAGAATAAGCAAACAGCATGCAATTCCGTCTCGAATCTCAGGCTGTGTCTGTTGATCAATAGCTGCTTTGTGTGATCTTCTGGAAAATTCCCAAACGCGCTATGTCAATTTAAGTCTACATGTTTGTTGATAGTAGAATAATTCATGCATCAAGTATGGTTGTGATCTTCAACGTGTTAGTTTATCACGCGCAAACATTTTGTCCTGGCCAGGTTTGTCTTGGTCCTCTCCACCAAGGCGCTACACATACCTCTGTCATCAATTTGCTCGTCACACGGCCTGTTGGGGGAACTCCATGGGCACGTTTGTGAAAAAGACGCGTGGAATTTACTATGACAAAAACTTTTGGATATATTTTAACTATAAGCACCTGCGAGGTGGTTGGTATAATATTTAGTTGCTATACTAGGGGCCAATTCTATTTTTGTCACTTGATAATATCAAAATCACTTTAAAGGATTAACCAGTAGCGCACATGCTCGAGGGATCGAGTCACAGCCTACGGGGTTTAGTGTTGGGTGAGATTCAAGTGTCAATTAATGTCAATCATTGTCGATATACTATATAGAGCGATTGCTACGTAAGGCTCGTGTACAAAGATGTCTGTCATTTTCCACTATTAGACAACTCTACCATTGTGAGGGTAAATTGACATGTACTCTCAATCAAATCTTACGATGCTTTTCTTAAAACATACTCATCATTGCTGACGTGTTGATATAAGTCCCATGTGATATGGGTATAGGACTTCAAAGATTAAATAATCTAGTAAGAAGTAAGAAGTATGCAATGACTTCTCAATATATTCACGACTGTCTACTACAGTAGCCAGTATAGATAAAATCATACATATCATTATTACAGTAGGATAAAGGAAGCCAACTCATGTCTATGTATAGCACTCAACAATGCATTAGTTCTACCCTTGAGCTCATCTCTGCCTCAGATCCAGCCAGTATCCAACATTGAAGATATTAACCACTACTGGCCTCCCTATCAAGGCTAGCACAGGCTGAGAGGGTTCGTTCGCACAACAGACCCCTACCAAAATACATCGCCTAGGCGTTCCAGAAATGTTACTATTTTCCCCTGCGACAGCAGCCCTGTACACGTACATCAATAGTCCAAGACCCGTTGATTTGCTATATCAAGAAGTTTGGGGTAGGAAATATGGCGATATGACGCACCTGGAGCACACTAGCCACATATGTTTTGCTTGCAAGCCTCAGGAAAGTAACTTTCGTGAATCATTTGAAAAGCAACCACACTGATTATTGATAATGTTACATTTCCCATGCGGAATAGAGAATGCATCCGCGTTGTGACGATTACACACTGTATAGAATATATTGCTTTTTTCCATTCGTCAAAGCCCCAGAACCACTGAGTAGACTCTGGTGGCTCTGGGAGATGAGCAACTATACTGATGATAGTAGTTAGGTTGCTAGTTCGGGAGCTTCCATTCACAGACAGCTGGTGAGTTACTAATAACAGTTCATTTGAATTATAGAAGTGTATCAACGATGAATAAATAACACATTCATTACATTAATATATAGATAGGGATGGTGCAATCTTAGACGTTCGGCCTGACAACTAAAAGAGCGTCTGGGTAGCTTTGTTGGATCTTTTGTTGGATCTCTTGAAACTATAAGTACCTCGATATATCACTTATTATTATGACTTATAGCGTTTTGCTCTCGCACGACATGTATACTATGTACACGTAGATGGCGAAACGGTGTTATCAAGGAGGCCGTGTGCCATAGTCAAAGATAGAATCTTAGCTTATAGTTTGGGGAGAGAAATTCACAAAAACCATCATGCCTTCGAACAAGTTTTGGTAGGGGAAAAAGATCCATAAAATATGTATCAAGAGATATTGCTGGTAGTCAACCCAATCTACGGATTGGATTGACGACTATTCACAGTAGAAGTCATATATCTTGAAGTTATATATAGTCAGTTGTTATTGAGAAGTTCATGAACTACTCCGCAAACCACGCAGTATGTGGAAACAAATGGAGCCATTAAGCCTACTGCAATATGAATCTCAACTATGGACCATCTAGTGCATCATACAAGTCCATGCATCGCTGGCATTTCTTCCATTCTACCAGCGCTATCTGCAGCATCACATAATCCAGAACCATAGCCTCTGCTGTATATAACATTACCAAAAGATCCAACACGTGTATCAACCTGCTAAATACGTGTGACATATTTTGAATCTGAAATTATATGCTCACCACAAGCAATAGTCGGATTTGTACAGTGTAGTCGCCATGGTGTCGCCAACCATGTCATGACATTTCATATCTCCAGCCCACTCATACAGTATGACAAATAGCCCTGCCACGACACAAAATCTACGTCAGCAGAGTCTAAGTAAGCATGATCAAATCAGCCATTGTTATCTAGATGATATCTAGATGATCTACCAGTGTGCATCAGGAACTGACATGATAAGTCATTATTTCCAGTAGTAGTTCTGCTGACTATCGTGGCGTCTAGAATTTCCCCACAGTCATGACTGGAGAGTTTTGTCAGTTAAAGCATGTAGCTTTTCTAGACTCGAATTTATTCACATCTTTTCAAGGCATCGAAATATCAGGGACGTGGCTTCTCGTGGTTTCCGCCCTTTCTTCTCCTGGGTGAAATTCAGGTCTAAGTCGAACTGCCATCCATGTGCAGATAGATCGAACTTAACATATCTATAATTCCTCTCAGGTCGAACGAAGAAAAAAAGATATTGAATTATGTGGGTCTTTCGGGTTACGAAAGCTAGGACCTTGTAAGCATGCAAAACTCGCGCACATGTCAACTTCGTACTGGCTCCCCAACGAGTCGGGAGGTGTACATTAAATTGAACATGAATTAGAAGATGAGTTCAGAGCTTGAAATTGGTGGAATCTTATACAAGGAAAGGGACAAATATTGACAAGAGGTCTATCAAGATAAAGTTTATCAGAAGCTTGCGATATGTATTTATAAAAGCTCAATCTTGCAGAAAATATACCATACCTAACTTCTGATTTGTAGTCCAATAACAGTCTAGATATGTAGATTATAACCACTTTGATCTGCTTTAAAATACAGCACTTGAGCTGCAGTGATATCCATTTATTTATTACCAGTGTATACAGATTGTTGCATCTCTTTGAAATGAATATCAGCGACAACATAGCTAGTGATGGTGAAGCCCACTTGACTACTTAGCCTACGACGGTCTCCTACGTAGCCCTCCCAGTCCCTATTAGCTAGGTGTTTCCAGGTAAGGGTTTAATCATCTTGCATTTGCCTTAGTATGGTCGTACTCCTCAACTGGTCTATTAGTCTGCTGCTGATTGGAAAGTAATCCTATATACCATGTTCTTAGGTCCCCCATTCTTCAATATTGAAGATTAATGCAGGCTGTTACGTGTTCATAAGTACATATCCCTCTGCTGTGAGTACATTCTGCATATAAATTAGATTACGGAAGCCGCGCTAGCCGCTGTTCAAACCCACTTCTAGCATGGGGATAGTTACGAAACCAACCCAGGAGAGTGGCGGACGTCGTCAGTAGCAGAGTCCACCTTCAGTGTTAGAACATACCGAGGTAGAAGAGCCAACCTCATTTCTACGGTGGAAGAAGGACAAATACCGACCGGGCGTGCCAGGACTAGCATGATCCGAAATGGACCATGACCTTAAGAATAGTAATCGCAAGAAAACACAAGATAGACCACGACTAATCATGAACTAACCTTTCCAGTGCCTTTCACATATCCACCGACGTGGCCAATTCAGGTACAAGAACATAGACGGCACGCCTCATAATTAAGCATCGTCCACATTCATCATGACAAAGCATTCCAAGATCCAGATCGGTGAGATCTCAGCATTGCTGGCTGCCTCTGCATTTCCAGACCGCAACAACAACATTCCCTGCAGGGCCCGGACACCACCATTAACATGCAATCTTGCCTTTTTACGGTGCGATCTGGCTGACTCGCCACCGCAGATTATCCAAGCGCACATGCTCGAGAGATCGAGCCACGGGTTACGGGGGTTTATTGTTGGATGAGATTCGAGTGTCAATCAATGTCAATCTATGTACTCCGTAGTGCGATTGCTACGCAAGGCTCGTATACGAGTCAAGGATGATCTTCTTCATCTCGTCCAGTCTAGACCCATGCCGTTCTCTATCGACACCGCTTCTCAGGAGCGTGGTATACCGCTTCCGGGAAAGACAAATCCCAGCCTGCGGAGCATCCGTTCTCCCGCAGCAGCAGCAGCAGCAGAATCATAAACCGTCCAAATCCTGCTCTCAACAGCACACACTCTCAAAGCAGCAAGATCACCATCAAACTAGCAACAAACCATCTCCCCAAACTATGTATGTACTATAAGCGGAAAACCGAAGCTAGGAGGCCGTACCGCCCCACAAACAAGGGCCAAAAGCAATACAACCTGTGGCTGGTGCTGACGCAAACCCACATCCAACGCAAAGCCCCCCTTGGACCCGCCATTCTGGTTCACTCGCGCATGGAACAGTAGCTTTTCCGAACTGGTGTAATCCCGAGCGAATCAAGGGAGGGTTCCCGGGGCCCCCCATTCGGTACGGCCGAAAGGG